GTACAGGGACGAGAAGAGGTATATAAAAAAAAGACCTGTTATCAGTCCCAGTTAATTTCTTCCATTAAAAATGCTGGTGATCTTGAAAAAGCAATATTCTTATTACTGTGTTGGTCATGATGCACATAGAAATTCAGAAGGTTCCCTTTGACTGGTATCTGCAGTTTAACTCCTGTAAGCTCAACGTTTTTTTTTATTGTTTAATTTAAATTACCATCATTTTTGTTGATTCAACTCTTTAATATAGTACATCGCTGCTACTGCTATTTAGTTTTACTGAATTGGCTTTCTAGATTCACTTAGCTTTTAGACATTAAATAATACACTGTGCTTAATCATATTATCAGAGCACAAATAACCTTAATAAAATATTATTAGGGCTTCCAAGTACTCCACAAGAATTTTCGAAACTTGGTCAAGTTTTACAGTTTAGCGATGCGGATCAGTTTCGTCTACCAAGTCGATTTCAGGATGAAGATGAGGTATATAACATAAAAAAATTTTTCTTGAATTATTTTATCAAATTAGTGTATTTTATTTTGAATAGATTTTTACCTATTTAATTAATAGAATATTTCTGGTCCAAGTAAAAGAAAGAACCAACAAAAGTGATAATATAATACAAAACTATTGTTAGGTTGGTCTGATTTACCTGTTAATTTTTTGGAACTTTTATCAGACAGAATTTTCTTTACTTATTCTCTTCACTTTTTATTTTGAAGATATTATAAGCTAATGTAAAAAAAGCAAAAGAAAAGTCATATTTTTATACGTTTTTTTGTCACAAAACTGTATTAATGTTGGGTGGAAGAACAGAAAATTACACATTAATTTGCTTGAGCAATAATAGTCAATAAATTTAATTGAAATAAAGAAATTTTGCAAACATTAATTCACTAAATAATTTTTTTTACACAAAATATCGTTTTATTTTAACTGTCAATTGTTTCACTATTTTCTTTTCATTTTGGAGCAACGATCATTTTTGCCTTATTTGGAAAGTCTTACGTTATTATCAGAGAGATTCGCTAACAGCCGAACAGCACTGTTTATTCGTTTTCATTATTGGTGACCTTTGCAGTTAATCTTCTTTGCTGGGGACAAAAATTTATCTGAATGTCGTTGACAAAATTAGCAGTTATATTAGTCACTTATCGTTTTTTTCCTCTCTAAAGAATAGTAAGAAAGAAAAAAGACGGAAATTTGCTGGTTAAAGACAGAAAATTCTTTCTTTTCTTTTCACATTAATAAATATAAAAGTTATCGTAAAGTTAATCTTACTGCAAAGTACTTCTATACTGATGAAGAATTTTTTTCTAGTAATTTTTCTTTTTCTTTTTGTTTAAGGGTTATGAAACAAGAAAAGGAATTGCCTATGTTAATCGATTTTCAATTACTGGCCCAAAAACTGTCTTAGAAAGTATTGATGTTCAAGATTGGTTGGTACTTCGAGTAAAAGATGGTGCAACATCAAATGAGGTTTTATTTTATTTATCAATTTCTCTGCTTTTTCTTCATATTTTTTAGTTCACCTGTGAAATACTTTGATACTTAGAAAATAGAACCATTTAGAGAAGAGATAAAAGTTTAAAAAAATTGTAGAGAACATTTCAAGAAAAAAAAAATAGAAATTTGTGCTTGTCTCTAATTCCAGTTTCCAAAATATTAGACTAAGAGAAAAAGCAAAAAAAAAACCTTACTGTCATACTTTTTTTTTGTTTAGAGATTGAAAAGAAAGAGAGGAAGTTTTTTTGATTAAAATTGTAAAAAAAAAA